AGTGCATCGCTACTAGTAACAAGTGCCTTACTAGTAGTAACAAGAAGCTATTAGTAACAATGCTGTCCGCGATCGAACGCCTTTTCACGTTCACCGACTGAGGTGTTTTTCCCCGATTGGCCACAATTCGCCTCAGTTCGAAGCGACCCAGGTGGCTTCTTTGAGAGCTCAGCTGGAGTTTCAGACCACGGAGCTGAAGCAGACGTCAGAGCAAGAGGCAGATGCTGTCCGCTTGAACCCGGCAGATGTCAGAAGAAAAGTTCAAAAGAATCTGGTGTATCATGAAGAAAGTAGTATGTAGTAGTGTGGGTCAACGGGCACATCCTGTCCCTCTCCAGATTTCTGAAAAAGTCAACGAAAGCTACCTCTTCTTGGGCTTCGCTACGTCACTGTACCTTGCCACTTAGTCACCCTTCTTAGAAACAAGAATGTGCTTGTGATTGCCTGTTTGTTCCAGAGTTGCCAGGTCTCCTTGTTGAAGCAAGAGTTTGAGCGCAGAGAGCGATCGCTCCAACAAATGTTGGAGCAGGAGGGGATGCGTACGTAGCGTTTTGGAAACCATGCATGGTGGCAGTGTTTGGTTTTGGCGATGCCCACAAAGGCCTTGTAACTCATGTTTGCAGGCCCTTACCCACATGGAATGCCGAAGCCACCAAGTCCCATGTTCAGGATAAATCGGATAGGTACAGACGCGCTACTGGGGTGCAGGTCATCGCAAGTAGGTTGGAGGGCATCGCTATGTTCGGTTCCTTTTGCTATGTTCGGCTGTCACTGTTAGATGCCTCGCAAAACTGTCCCTTGTCATCCCTCCAGGCCCGCTTGGGACAAGAGGAGGAGACACGGACGGCGGAAATGCAGCTGGCCCGGCCCTGACAGAAGTGGTCAACTTTCATAGCGTCCCTGTACAGAATCTTGTTGAAAAAGAATTGTTTTTAAAGAGAATACGAGTAGCGTTCTTGTTACTAGTAGTACGGCCAGGAGCCCCTAGTAGCGTTCTTGTTCCTAGTAGCAAGGCCAGGAGCCCCTAGTAGCGTCCTTGCTCCTAGAAGACAAGATTTGTATGAGTGTGTGAATCGGTTTTCCTTGAGGCGAAGAAGTGGTTCATAACTTGTATCATCAGTATCATATACTGAAGATGGCAGCTTTCCAGCTTTTGTTCGGCCAAAATCAAGTGAAACGCACGTCGAATAGTACGAACCAATCGATCGTCCACAGTGTTCGTCTTTTTCGGCTTGGCTTCTTTGCACCAAGCCTTCGAGGCTAATGGCCCTAGCGGCCAGCAAAGAGCGGCTGACTAGGAACAAGACGCTACTAGGGGCTCCTGGCCTTGCTACTAGGAGCAAGAAGCTACTAGGGGCTCCTGGCATCGCTACTAGGAGCAAGAAGCTACTAGGGATAAATAGTTACCGGGTAGACCATCGCTTTTAGGGGGAGGCCATGGCTAGTAGGTTGGAGGAGACCTCAAGAAGTCTAGCTACTCATTCGACCTGTGAGAAGGGACCCAAGGGTACCGAAGAGAGGTGCTGTAGCAAGAACCAAATGGAAGGAGCTGTGTCTCTTCGACAAAAATGGACATAAAATGATTTACCTCTTACTAGCCTTACATATGAAGAGTGTCTCAGAGGCCGGAAAAGAGGTTCCCTTTTCTCTCTTGTTTATCGCATGGTTTCGCGTCGCGTGGGAAGCGAGGCCATGAAGTTGAAGCGTCAAGAAGAATTGCTGAAGGCCTCAGATGTGAGGAACTTAGGAACGACCTCCATTTTTCGCCGTGCAAAAAAGAGGAAACGCGACGGCGAAGAACGAAAACATTTGCTTTCGTGTTGATTGTTTTTGTGAAAGCATATAAGTGCTTAAACCGGTGTTTACCAAGCCGACATGTGTATTGAAGAAGCTCTTTCAACGCATCAACGCATGAAGTAGCACTAACGATGTTGAGGATGTTTTTTCAAGCAGATCGATGCTTTCGGTGCTTCGAACCCAAAGGTCAAGATCAAGTCCCTAGAAGAGAGCGGCCAGCGGCAACAGGATGTTGGGGTGCATCCAATGTCGTTCGTCAAGCGTTTTGGTGGTTACTCCGGGATGTGTGGAGTTTAGGTGCCTTCAACACAAGGTGCTTTGGCAACGTTTAGGGTCGAAAGAGGAAGGTGCTTAAGACTATCAGCTTCCAAAAAAAGAACATATATATATATATATAAACTCAAAGTGTGTCTCCTTGTAGAAGATATCGCCGATGATGCACCGTGGTGACACCGGTGATTTGCCGTTCAGGAGCTTTATGAGCGACATGTGGGGCAGCTCACGCAGCAGATGAGAAGCAGCCAGGTGGACAACAGATCAGTGGGTTGTGCCTCAAAAGAGTTTCACCAATTCAGCGAAACATGAGACTCAGAAAGATGAGGAAGTTTGCCCAAGCTTTCACCAGATTTCGCCACCTCTTGGAATGAAGAAAGAGAGTAGAGTTGATGCGGGCCCTTCAGATGAGCAGGTTGAAATACAGTTGCAATATTTGTGTGATGTTGTACAGGAGCTAATCAGGTCCTGACATCCTTCGCTAGCACCCAGCAAATCACCGGACATCACCTCCCTGTGCATCACCAGGAGAACTTCAGGTCACAACTGTCCATCGCCCAATCTGAAAACGACGAACAACTACAGGCTGGGTTGTCCATGTTTGGCCAAAGCTGCAGAGACTGCAGTAAAGGGTTCAATTCTGTTTCGATGTGCTCAAAGAGCAACTGCTGAACAACCCGTACCTTTGTTGCCAACCCATTCTGCTTCTTTGACGTGTGCACTTAGGGACAAAGATGGACGAAGGGTTCATGAATCAGCCCGTCGTGTTCTTTTCAATGCCTGTGTTCGCGTCGTTTCGTAGGCGGCCATTGCCAAGCTGGGCGAAGTGGAGAAGACTAACAAGTCAGAACTGGAGCGGGTCAGAGCCGAAGTGGAGCAGGAGCGAAAACACGCTTTTAGTAACAAGTGCCACGCTAGTAACAAGTGCCTTACTAGTAGTAACAAGAAGCTATTAGTAACAAGTGCCACGCTAGTAGTAACAAGTGCCTTACTAGTAGTAACAAGAAGCTATTAGTAACAAGTGCCACGCTAGTAGTAACAGGTGCCTTACTAGTAGTAACAAGAAGCTAGTAGTAACAAGTGCCACGCTAGTAACAGGTGCCTTACTAGTAGTAACAAGAAGCTAGTAGTAACAAGTGCCACGCTTCTAGTAACAAGTGCCTTACTAGTAGTAACAAGAAGCTAGTAGTAACAAGTGCCACGCTAGTAACAGGTGCCTTACTAGTAGTAACAAGAAGCTAGTAGTAACAAGTGCCACGCTAGTAGTAACAGGTGCCTTACTAGTAGTAACAAGAAGCTAGTAGTAACAAGTGCCACGCTAGTAGTAACAGGTGCCTTACTAGTAGTAACAAGAAGCTATTAATGAGGTCACAAGCAGTCACAGCTGCTCAGCTGCTTCCAGTGACTCATCGAGTGCCAGGAGCGTGAAGAACAAGCCGCCAAATTGGCACAGGCCTGGATCGCGGGACCGTGGGGGGCAAAACCAAAATCCATTGTTGCAGTTTATGATATGTTATGTGTTATTTGTTTTTTTGGTTTTAGTATGTTTTAGTTGGATGTCGATGTCGCGAAAAAAAAGTCTCTTTCGTTGCCGGAGGTCACCCTTTTCCCTTTTCAACGTTTGCCTTCCGAGGCCGAGGCGCTGAGCCAACAGCTGGTCGCCTTGCAGCGTGAGATCGACGAGCTCCGGAAGCAGCTCCTCCAGGCGAGAAGCGGAGGTGCGAGGTCGTGATGGAAGCTCTCCCATTGCAAGATAATTATATTAAGCGGATATAAAGCAGAAATATATCTATATATGTATAGCTTGCACAGAGGTTCATCTCTTTGCAAGAGGAGGAGTGTCGAAATGTATAGCCCATATATACTCCGCATGTAAAGTTTTAAAATTCTGACTAAGGACGACTTCATTTATATGTTTGTTCAAGGGAGAAAAGGGCGCTCCGTAGCATCGATAAGGGCGCGAAGGCCCGGTGAAAGTGAAAGGGACCACGCGTTACGAGCCAAAGAGGAACGGCACAGCAAAATCGAACTCTCCTAGAGGAGGAGTGGATTGAGGAAGAGCCGGCACCGGGAGCGGCCGCTTCGGCCGCACCGGTGACCGAGCCAGAGGAAAGAGAAAAGAAAGAGGAAGAAGAAGAACCTTTGCCTGAACAATTGCCTGAAGCCGAGATCACCACACAAAAGACTGAAGAGGAAGAGAAAGAGTCTGAAAAGAAAAGAGAGAAGGAGAAGAGGGCGTGGAAGAATACACCCCTTCTCAACCTGGTGATCCTGACCAAGCGGCCGGTCTGGCCGAGCACGAAGAGGAGGAGCTGCCATCCGTGCTTGGGGAACATACAGCATCAGACGGAACACGTCACAGCTGGGAGTTGAAATCCACCAGATTGCACGGTAAAGCAGAAAAGGCAATTGCGACAGCTCCCTGGCGCCAAGCGGCAAAGCCAAACAAGGTTCCAAGGTTGAATCGGCCCGACAGACTCCTGAAAGATCCGGATTTAGATTGAGAAGCCAGGTGTCCCTCCAGATTGAAAGACTACATCAGGCTCCAAAGTAAGAAAGGAGGAACTGCAAAGGAGCTCAAAGAAGAAGTCAAGGAGTTCGGCCGAAAGCGGCCGCAGAGTGAGATCAAAGAGGAGCGTGAAGAGCAGAAAGAGCGGCACAAGGCAAGAAGAGCCGCCAAGAGGGGGAGGAGACAAAAGAAGATGAATCTCCTCCCTGCCGTGGTCGCTCGCCTTTGCGACTGCGGCCGAGGAGCCCTACAAAGGAGAGAAGCCCACTGCGATTGAGATCCGTGGGCCGAATACCACCATTCGAGCGGCGCGGCGAACTCAAAGCCGCGATAACACCGATAGACGGCCGGTGTGGGGAAGGGCATTGAACCTCAATTCCCAAATTCAGGACCTGGCAAACGTAGCAGCTGGGGAAGGACAGATCCCGAATTGGAAGTTGGAGTCACCGTTCCAGGCCCGCAAGATCGCAGCGGACCACCTGGTGGCAACAACAAAGCTGCGTGGTACAGTAGCTTTAGCTGCTGTTCGGCAGTTGTGGCAGCTGCCAGGGCCAGGTGGAGAAAAGGGAAGTGGCCAAGCCTGCAGTAGCTGCGATGAGAGGGCAGTGAAATCAAGGCCAATCCAGTACATAATGGCCAGAGGACTTAAGGGCCACCCTTTGCAGCTGACTCGAGAAGAGAAAGCGGCGGTTTGCAAGTGGCGGACCAAAGCAAAAGAAAAGCCACAGCCAAAAGAAGATGAAGAAGAACCGGCCATTGGAAGACGGCCGGAAGAGTTGGCTAGCAGCAGATCGCGGGATCGGGTTCGAGAGACCTCGCAAGTCCGCTCTCTCCCCCGAAAAGGGGACTATAGGTACTTGTCACCCAGCGGGCCGGAGACAGACGATCGCGTCCGTGGGACTGTGCAGCAGTTGGGATTTGGGATGGGAAACCATGGCTTTGGAACAACAGGTTCAACAGTTGCCCGATCTTGTTCAACAACTTCAACAAAACCAATTAAGATTGGAACAAGAAAACCAAAGTTTGAGGGAGAGGCAAGGAGGAGTAGCAATGCTAGCAGGCGCAGTAGGAGAACTAGCTAAGAGCTTAGAAAAGTAGAATGTAAACAATGGAAAACAAATCCTGGTGGACACCAAAGGTCCAGGAAAGCCAACACGGAAGATCACTTCCGGCGACGGGCGCGATCAGTTGACAATCTTTTCATGTCCGTTCTTGGTCGTGGGTTCATCGAAGTTTTGGAATGGCGTTTGGAACAAGAAGATCAAATTGAAACCAAAATGGTTGAAGACGAGTTTGGAAGTGGCGCAGCGAGCGCAATCAACGATTTAGCGACAAAGCCAAGCAATGAGCCCCTGGTGTGGATGACTTGGCAACTTCAATGTGAAAGGCAAAAAGGGCCTTACGCTTGGCCTCCTCCTAAAGCCGTTGTGTCATGTTGATGTGGAACAGTCGTGAGCCCGCCAGCACATTTTTTGGTGGTATGGGTGAAGGCTATAGGCTGTCTCCTTTGATTTGCTTCTTTTTTCTTCTTTGCACCATCTGTCAGGCACGTCGACGAAAGATGCAATATGTGGGGGAGCGCCTGCGTGGGTACACATCGTGACGAGGTTGCGCGCGGATGTGTTTTATGTAGCTGGGGGTGTACCACAGTGTCACACTGCAACGACCGAGCTGACATGAGAGAGTTACAGAGAGTTTGAGAATCTTGTGGTGTTGATGTTTGCAGAACAGGCTATGTTAATGTAGCGTCGGGGCAAGCAGACGATACACCACTAAGATCGTTGGCTGCCTCCATTGTGGGGACTGACCCTGCGCCAGCAGATTGTCTTCGACCTGGACCTGGTGCCCCACGGTCTCATCGCTGTCGCCCGCAACCTGTGGCGCATTGACGTGGCCACCCCGGGCAACTTCCGCGAGTTCCTGGACAGTCACCCCGTGGTCCGGAGATACTTTTCTACCGGCTCTCAATCACACATTTGGGCGTGAGGATGCTTTTGATCGCAGCATTCAGTGGCTTCAACAACAGCTGCACTTGGTGCCTTGGTTCCCTAATACTCGTTCCCCCTCTTTGCCCTGCGCCACACTCCCCCGCTTTCCCACTTTGCCGGCCGAGCCCGGCGTTCGCGGAACCTTTTTCCTCATGTATGCCCCACACAGAAACCTCGGCATCTTCTTCGCCCAGAACCCGTGGTCGACGGCGCCAACTCTGAGCTGTCATCTTGGCTGCCCTCAGACACTGAGTGAGACCTTCGGCCGCGATTAAAACAAAGGTGCGCCTGTCCTCGCTGCCCTGCGTGTCCGTTGCCCCTTCGCTCTCTCCCCCACACTTCGCCCTCACCTGCAAGGAGCCACCCGGACGCGCGCGCTGCCCAGACGTTGGATCCTCAGTGGGCGACGCGCCAGCATCCGCTTGCGTTGCGTCGGTCTGTCTCACACACATACCCCGCCGCCCTCGCCGGAACTCCGCCCATCCACAGCCCCGTCCACACCCACGCACGTTCCGTCTGCAACATGTTTTGGGCGGCTTTGAGATGTTGAAGCTGCAAGGCCTCAAGATGAAGAAGCGGCGGCCGTCGGGAGGAAACACACCTTCAGCTTTGACGTCTCTCGGGAAGCAAGTATCTCAGAATGAGAAGGTACTTGCTGGGGAGCGTACGCATACGGGGCCATTTCTGTCACTTCCCGGCTTCTTGGGGCAATCCAATACGATCAGTTCCGCCCGCAATGCCTTGTCTTGACTGGACGGAAGACAGCACTCTTCAGGCGCAAGATCCATGTACTAGACGACAGGGTGGCCCGAAAGCAAGTAGGCGGAAGAGAACAAATAGAAGGGAAGAAAAGCGAAGTAACAGAAGATGAATGAGCACTAAAGAAATGAAGAGATGATATATGATGATTCAAAACATTAAGATGAAACAAAATGAGATGATGATGAGATGACACAATATAATATATATATATATCTATCTATATATATATATATACATTATGATTATGATACTATTATCACGTTATTACCAAATCTATTAATGTATATTCTGTTGCACTGTACTTCGGAGCCCAAACGGTAGTCCCGGTCGATTCTTTTTTATCCAGCGCCGGTCGAGCTCAAACGCTAGTCCCGGTAGTAAGAGCCGCCGAAGTGTGCGAAATCGCACGTCCCAACCTGGCATCAGGACAACCAATGCTCATACAAATGCAACACTTGAAAAACAAAACAAATTACCCACAGTTCAACTCATGTTGTTTTGTCGGTTATCAGATATAGTTGCACACCCAGTCGGAACAGGATCGACTTCGAACAACTCTCGGTCGTGGATCTCGTGCCTTGTGGAGTCTCTGCACGTTCAGCTGGAACAAGGGTCGACTTCGGACAACTTCCGGTCGTGGACCCAGGTCCTTCTAATCAGTTTGGTCACGACACTTTGCAATAGCCAATTCACAGCTTTTCGCCGATACTTGTAACTTCGTGGCTGGTGACTATATGTGGCATCGACATGCCGGCCTCCTGGAATTCCATTGCGTGGTGTCCACTTTCATTTGGTCCCACTTGTTGCCGCTCAACCTGTTCAAAAGACTCAATGTCTCTGGAAACGAAACTGGTCTTTCAGGTCAAATCACAACAAGCAAAGAATATCATTCAAGTCCAACAATCGAACAAAAAAAAAGATGTCTATAGAGCTCTGTTTGCACAATTTTATCGGTTATCAGGTATATTCGCGCACCCAGTCGGAACAGGATCGACTTCGAACAACTCTCGGTCGTGGATCCCGTTCCTCATGGGGTCTCTGCACATTCAGTCGGAACAAGGGCCGACTTCGAACAACCTCCGGTCGTGGACCCAGGTCCTTCTAGCCAGTTTGGCCACGAATTCACAGCTTTTTGTCGACACTTTGGTCACGACGTTTCAAATTCCCAACGCCAGGCATGCTTGTGATGCTCCAAGGATCGCAGTGCATACAAGACATATGCTCGTCGCTTCCACGGTCTCAGGCTTGGACGCTGCTGGAGCACACAGTCAATGGCATCCTCGACACTGAGATCCCACCAGATCACCAGCCAGGCGCAAAGCGCGGCGGTACTGCGATTGATGCCTCCAAAGCAATGAAACAAAGGCGTAAACCTGATGTCGTGGTTCCAGTAGTAGGAGGCCACATCCCAAAGAACATGCATCAAATCTTTCCAGAAAGCTAAACATTCACCGGCAGACTGACGATGCTTCGCCAGCTCTGTATTTGGGTCTTTGACTGTGGGATCCTCGATGAACCACCAGATATGAGCGACGCCACAACGTTCAAAATAGGTGGGCAAATCTGACGGCGCGCCGCGCACCTGGATCTCGTTCCCACACAGGGTCACGACATGGGAGATCTTTGTCGTGTACTCCACCTCCACCGCTTCAATGTTGACAGCCGCTTTGACACTACCGAGGAAGATGGCATCCCCTCCCAAGGTAATGCAGCTGGCATCCAGTGGCCAGGCAGTGATATCTCCAAAATTGTAGTCAGACATGGTGGAAACCATTGCAGCAGCAATTATAAGGCGATTAGCAACAAAAGATTGCAAAACACCACGTAACTACGCACTGAACGATGACACAGGAACACCTTCGAGCCAGAACTATAAGGCGAATAGCAACCAAAGCGTGTAAAACACCATGTAACTACGCACCGAACGATGACACAGGAACACCTTCGAGCCAGAACTATAAGGCGATTAGCAACCAAAGATTGCAAAACACCATGTAACTGCGCACCGCAAGCACAGAGAATAGCCTCCCAAAACCGGATCTCGACGTCCAAGCTCCAAAAATTGCGATTTCGAAGCGTTTTTTAAAAGAGATTTATAAGAAAAATGAAAGCGGCAAAACTTGGAAAAAAGTACGTTGGAAACCATTGCAGTAGCAATTATAAGGCGATTAGCAACCAAAGCTTGCAAAACACCACGTAACTGCGCACCAAACGATGACACAGGAACACCTTCGAGCCAGAACTATAAGGCGATTAGCAACCAAAGCTTGCAAAACACAATGTAACTACGCTCCGAGCGATGACACAGGAACACCTTCGAGCCAGAATTACAATGGGGGAACGCTCCGGGCACAGACCATGGAATCGCATTTCCCAACGAGTATGAAGTCCGCAGCGCACATTCGCGACATC